TGCCACACAAACTAGTGGGCGCAAGGAAAGTAATGCGTAATGTCGTGGCGCCACCATGTGGAAGAGGTGAGTTCTACCCCAGGGGGGAGGGGAAGGCTTCCAGTCAGAAGATGGCTATATCCCAGTATTGCAGAACTCTTATGGTGTTGAAGATTCGTTCTCAAGAATGCATGATGGTTAGAAGCTCAAGGCATTTTTAATGCAATATTGTATGTTAACACCATCTGTTCCACTGTCTTTCTTTGTACCAAAAACACCATACATCAAAATGATTTACAGTGAACATACACAGTCATTCTAGTCAGTGGATGAAAGATACCAAGACAAACCTAAATGCACAAGCTTTAAAATGGGGGTAGATGAATTCCTACAAATTTAACATGCATGCACATGTATCAGAAACTTAAGAATATGCCTCTTCAGCCACATTCAGCAATTTTGCTTTCCCAGTAATGATGGAGACAGTAAGATGGACTAGGTGAGTCAATGAAGGACAGTCCTCATAATACTGAGTGTTCTTTGTTATCATAAAACAAATGGGACTCATTCCACAAGTACTCTTTTAGGTATGTAACCTGCAAGGTATTGAACAGTTCACACAGGAAGTGAACTTCTGTGCCATGCCAAGAGAGTATAACAAATTATGCAGATATTTATTATCTAATTTAGAATGATTACATGATTGAAAGCTCAATAAGGCTTTTAAGGTCAATGAATCTACAAAAAGATATGAACTTCAAACAAAGTAAGAGAATCACTCAGTGCCTCAAAACATACTAGAATGTTTTATGATAATAATTTTGATGCAGCGTTAATAGTACATTCTCTAAATTGTACTTCCCAGTATTGTGTCACATGGATAACAAGCACTTAAAAGTATTGAATGTTTTCTCAATACTTCTTTTCTGGATTTAAACTTTTATTTCCATTCATGGAGAAAAATTTTGATTAATTTTAATAAGTTCAAAGTATGGAAGATGTTTGAAGTATCTATTTACATGACTGAATCAATATTAGTTTCCTTACTAACGAATAATGCATTACATTTTAAAAACTTCTGCTTCCTTTTCCTTTAATTTGGATAATTGTATTCATGAATTAATATTTTCCTTGCATAGAAATTATAATAAAGTAACATAGGCTCTACATTCATCCTGTAAAGACTATTGTATTTCTTCTAAAGGAAATGGGTCATTTTCAGAAAATTGTGACTAAGAAATATTGAAATTAAATTTGTTCCAATTCCTGTGAACTCTGGAAATGCAAATCCTAGCAGACATCCCAGAAACTAATTTTGGTAGGTTATTGATATTAGCAATGGCATAGATTATACTTATATCCCAGAAAAAAGAGAGAAAGTGGCAACAATGCATACAATTTTGTAGCATTTAAGTAATTGTTGATTGAAAAGTTATAATACTTTAAATATTTTGTGATTACTTTTCTTTTGCTTGTATTACGATATATTGAGTAATTCTTTAAAATTATTCCATTTCCTATGTCAGTAGCCAGGATCAGGATATGAAAATTAAAATTGATTTTGCAGATTTAAGGCATCCAGGCGCAGCCCTCAAAATTAAATGGAAGAAGCCTGGAGGTTAAACAAATAAAATCTAACGGGTAGAACAAAATCAGTATACGCAGAGCAGCAGATGCAACAGTTTTTAATTTTGATTGATAGACCTGACGATGATGGAATGAACATCGAAACATGTCGTCATTTTAAAATGTAACAATATCAAATGTTGAAATGTTATAATTTTATGTGATTTTAACAATCTATAAGCTTGTGTAAAGACGGTGAATAAAATTATTGTATTGAAAAGTAATCATTCATTATTCAGTTTTGTTTGTATACCTATTGAAAATAATTTTTTCCATAAAATCTACTGAGGAGGTAACCATTTGATTATTGCTGCATATAACTAGTAAGTTTTATGATATTGTTCAGTGGTAAAATGTACTGGAACCTATTATTTGATGCTGCTTTATTATTCTGTGTTTGTTTACATTTAATATGTTTTCTATTGTACATACATTAGCACTGTAGGTATGTATGATATAAGAAGCATGAGAATTACTCTTCTGGGAATTGTAATAAGAAAGTGATATTTGTAGTATAAGGTTATACTACTGATTAACTGTGCACTCTATTACATTATCACATGAACTCAAGAACAAATTTGGTGTGCTATATTAATGGGCAGAATAATTCATTCCTTGTACTAAAGTCTTTCTACCCTACTTAATTCACTCTTGCCATTTCTGTATTCTATTACTAGTGTCCCCACAGTTCATGCATGTCTAATTCAACATTATTAAGTTGAGAGAATGCTTTTGTTAAATTAATTAATATGTTTCATTGATATATTACACTGAAAATAATTATTTCAACATGATGATGGTAAATCATTGCATTCTGGTGGCAGCAGTAGTAACTAAAAAGGTAAACAAGAGACAAAAACAGTATAAGTGGGTAAGAATATGGCCACCGGCAATGTAGTAAGGTAACCTGTATTTCTGATCAAGCAATGAAGATAACAGTATTACTATCTTGGGTCACTAGCCAGCAATATATAATATGTGTTTCTCTAAATTTGTATAGTAAAACTTTCTGAATAATTTCTGTTATACTAAGAATTGTCATGTTCATATGTAGAGAGGCAGATAGAATGCTATTTCAGTCAAAATGTTAAATGGCATATTTAATGAACACCAAAGATCAAAATAATCAATGAAGTTATTTCTCATAAAATTCAAGTTATGACTGATATACCATGAAATCAATTACATAATGTATCAGTAGTGGAATTTCCCCCTAAAATATTAATAAATTATTAACTTCTACTGCCTTAAATTTATGAACTTCATACAAAGGTTGCCATTTTTGTAGTGAAATGACCACTGACTGTTATATTTAAGCTGTGATGGAGGAGAAGGGAGGAAGCAACACCATTGTTCTCAGTCTAAGCTATTTGAATATATTTAAATCAACTCTATAATTAAATATGGTCATCATCCCTATAGTATGGAGTTAAAATCTGTATCCATACAATAAAGATTAACTGAAACACAAAATGAATGATTAAATTACAAAATAGCACTTATTCATGACAGATTTTTATAACTTAAATTCAGCATGTTTACTTAGTTGTATGCCACAGAAGAGTTTAATTTAGTCCTGAGAAAGATATGATATGTGAAATAGTAAATTCTTAGAAATTAGATGTAACATTGTTAATGCTGTATTGGCAAGAATGAATTCTTCTCAGGCTACGAGCCATGTAAGGTGGTTTAATGGATAAAACACCGACGTTTCAAGATCCATCCCCATCCTCAGTACCCTGAGCATAAGGACAAAGATGGTTCTAAGTATAATGGATTCTTCTCAGGCTACCAGTTGTGTCAGGTGGTTGAATGGAGAAAACACCAACGTTTTGAGAACCATATTCGTCCTCGTCCTCAGTGTACTGAGGATGAGGATGGTTCTCGAAACGGTGTTTCCTCCATTAAACCACCTTACACGGCTGGTAGCCCGAGAATAATTCATATACTTAGTCGCTGTGAAAGCTTCAGATCATGCAATATAGGCTATGATTCCCAGGTGTATGTGAACTGCGTGTTAATATTTCTTTCAGTTAAACATATTTTTATTTATTCTTCCATGGCATGAACATTAGATATAATTAAAATTTACAGTGATTTTCAGTAACTGAAAGACTGTGAGGTTGTTTATAGCAATTATTTTATTATGGTACCTCCATATCTTGACCCTAAATATACAAATTTATTTTCAAATTGCTTATGTAAAATTTATTGATATAGCATAATGGCATTTTAAGTGGCAATTCTGAATTAATGAACTCCTTTATGTTTTAGATCACGATAGAAATGGAATTAAGTTGTGCATTAATTTTGAATGAGAATAATTATGCAATTTTTACCTCAGTAAAAAAGTATTTCTCCTTTTCCAGATGTTCCTGACATTAGGAAGTTGCCTCCATCCCTCTTCCCTTCAACCTGGTACCTTGCAAAATTACTGCACATCATGTTTCCTCTTCAAATAACAGTTTATAGGAGACAGCACCCTATGGTAAGAAAGCTCTCAATGTTACTTAACAGCAGCTTTTCAAAGATGCACTCTGTCAGCAGCTTGCATTCTATCAAGATAGAAGTATTATTCTCCCATTCATTCAATAATGTTAGTGATACAAGTGTCACACTGGAACCTTTTGTTGTATCACATTGGTATTTGGATATGTTCACATCTTGGAATTACAATTCTTAGTTTCTTTCCTTAAGTAACTTTATTTGTTTTGGTATGTCAGCTTTCAGAAGCAGTCATTTACATCATTAAAGTGCACAGAGAGTGGCATTAAACATAATGATCTATATATTAAGTCATTTTATTTTGACATTCAGACTTTAATTACAATGCAGCTTAATTTTGTAAAATAATGAGTAAAGAGTTAGTGCATTATTTGATCTACTTTATACACATATTTTAACAAGCTCATTAGAGATTATAGAAAGTGGTACTGACAAGATTAAATCCACAGAAATCTTCACAAAAATTATCCAGTTTTAGTAACATTTATTTTCTAGAGCATTAGATAGAAGCATAATCAGTTATAACATCTAACAGCTTGTTTTATAAGGTAAACTGAAGTCTGAGGGTTGGTTTATAAAGTCTCAGTAGATGAATATAATTCTCATCAAAGAAAATCCAGACCCAGTTATTGGTATGTTATGTACAGAATATATCAAACTCATAAATAACTTTAAAGCTTTACTTAATTTATTTTCTAATGTTAATCTCGAATTCCAACTCTTACATGTGTGGATCAATATCCATTCATGGTCTTTACCTCAGTAATCAGGTGAAATCTGGATGCCATTTTATGTGTTACTACAAAAAGAAAATTATACAATTGCAACTGATAAGTAAATTCATCTTCTAAATTTTCAACACAGCAAATGATTTCAGTTATTACTGCTTATGTATGCTGTTAAATAAAGTTAATATTTGAATAT